TTCTTATTATTATTGTTATTAGAGGAACCGAGTGCAGGGCACTCGGGGAATCGCGCCCGGATAGACGGGATAACTCGTCTCTCTCGGGTGTGTACGTGAACACGAAGACAAGCCCGGCCGCCCCGGTGTATGCACACCTTCTCCTAATCGTCAGAATTTTCGAGATTATTAAATGGCTGACGAGACCGGGAATGAATCTTGTTTCGTCCGCTCCTTAATTAACTTTCCTCGCCGCGCTATTAATCGTCCCGGCAAATATATATCGTTCCATTCGTTCACGACCGACGGTGCAGCGTCGATGAGTTAGTCCGTGTCCCGGTCACGAGGAAAACGATTTATTCCCATGGCTGCGCCCGCCGCTTTCGTATGCCGTTTGCTTAGGAGAATTCCGGAACCATGCGGATTCTCAGACCAACGCTTTCGTGGCTCGTTTTACAAACGGATAGATCGTCTCTCTTATTCGAAATGATTCGATTAAACGGTCCAGTCGATGCGGATTTTAATATCTTCGGCAGCGTAAGCGATTTTACTTGTACGAACGATTGCGACATTCTTTCGTTCAAAAGTGGTGCTTTTAACCGGTTAAGTGTGTTTGTATCTCTGAAATGCTGAAAATACCGATTTGATTCGGCGAAAATCGGCAAAAGGATCAACGGAAACCTTTGAAAGAACGATGTCGCTCGGCTGTTCGATTCGAGTAACATTTAGCACGTAACACACTCGCAATTTGTTTCAGCAAGTGTTCGGACACGGCCCTAAATCACGATCCGGTGCAGAGGCAGGCGGCTCGGTATCGACGAGGCGAGTATCGGCTCGCGGTAAGAGAATCGCAGGAATTCAGAACCGGTCGTAACGAGGCACCCTCGTAGCAAATTACAAATGGCATCGTCGAGTCCTGACGGAAGAGGACTACTGTCGTGTACGACTCGGAACGGGTCCTTCTGCGCCACATAGCTGCCGGACGATCGGATCGCCGGCCGAAGGATGATCCGGTTTCACGGGATAATCTATCCTCCGAGCGACCGATCATGCTAATAAAGCCGCCAGCTATAAGTAACATGGAACGATCGTAAATCCTGTCGGGGCTTGGTGAACACATGGGCACGGAAGAGCGAGAGCGAGAGCGCGCAAGTGCACCGACAGTAGCGTAACCGCGATATACACGGCTGCGATATCCCGAAGCCGAGAGAAGCGGCCCTCGAACCGATTTGACAAATGCGCGACAGCGTTGCGAATAGTCACCGGGATTGTAATATTCATTATTTTCCGTGTAGCGCTCGTTGCTACGAGCGGAGACGAGATGTCTCGTGTCCCGTGATGGACAGCTTCGTCCGCGGCGACGGAACGACGTTGCTTCGACCGTGGTTTCCGTCGAACCTACCAACCGTCCGGAATTTATGTAACTCTCGTCGTTCTCGTTTCTCTATTATTCGTCCGCAGACGGTGGATTAGAACGTCGAACGTGCGCCGCGTATAAAAGAATACAGTAATGTTTCTCTAATTGACGCTCAGATTGTGCAGAAAAATGGGCAATTTGGGAAGAGGAGACACGATTGTTCGAGACTTGCGATTCTTTTTTATAGTTACGATTTTTACGAGTTACGAGTTACGATTTTTATAGTTACAATTGCGCTTTCTTGTGAACGGAACCGAGGACGGATTTATCTTCCAAAGATGGAAACAGGATGTTGCAAGTAACTTTAGTATCCTAAATAGCTATAATTTTTGGCGGTGCGCAAGAACATCAAAGAAACACGTGTCAATTGATCTTTTTTTTTTTAAAACAGTTTCTTTCATTTCCATCGTCATTGATTGATAATTAACACTGCGCACTCGAAGCCATTGCAACTGTAAATCTGAATTAACTTTTCTGACTTATAGTATTTCTATTTTATATGACATACAGTGCACGAATTAGGGAGAAATTACTGCAGCTTGATAGCTCGGCATTCTGAGCAATAATTTTTACCAAAACCCTTCGTCTCGAACTTCGGTTTTCTTACAACTCTTCCTCCAATGACCATCAGCACCCGCTGCGGTAAGCTCCATCGAGCAGGAAAAGTCTTCGATTTCATCGGGACAATCCACCAATCAAGGTATCTAGCCGACGTCTCTCACCTGCCAAGCATTTCCCAGCCCGAATCAAGACCTACCATGCCCAGTACCACTCGAAGTAGAATTCCGTGTCGGCTCGAGGGGGCATCACCGGGAACGATGCACTCGATTACGCCATTGTGCGGCGAGCACGCAGGTGTGCAACGGGCTGGCAGATCGAATTATCGTCGCGGCGCGCGGGGAAACTCGTCGAAGACGTTACGTAAGGTCGTGGCGAGAGAATGAAAAAGAAGAAAACGGAACGAACGGGAGTGAAAAAGAAGGGAGAGCATAAAAAGAGAGAGAGAGAGAGAGAGAGAGAGAGAGAGGGAGAAGAGGGAGAATAAATCTCCGAGACTCGGGCAGGAAGAAGGAAAAGAAAATAACGAGTTCGCGCCGCGTCCCAGCGCGTTGCGAAACGACTCGTCGTAGCCGGCGCGCGGCTCGGCGCGGCGCGGCGCGGCCGGATGATTGCCGGCCCCCATAGGCTAATAGCGGTCGCGGACATAACGAAGGGTTATGTGGATCACGAGTTTGTTATTGGCTCGCTTAATGACTCGGCCGGCCGTTCTACCTGTCTGCAGCCGGGGTCCGCGGCGCGGTCGCCAATCTGCCGTGAACGCCGATATAACACGGCTCGGCGAGCGTGGCGTATGCCGTGCCGCGCGCCGTGATCCGAATACATCCCCGTGCAAAATGGATCGGGGCAAGGCAGAATTTCAATAACTATCCGCGGACAAGCGGCGCGGCGAGTTCCCCAGCGTTCCATCGAATTTTTCGCCGAATTTTTCCCCGATCGAATCTTCCTCCCTTTTGGCCATTGGTCGCGCGCGTCACGCCGGACAGCGAGCGGAATCGGGCGCATTGTCCCGGCAGCGTTCGCCGACAGCGATTCGCTATTAGCAACGACTGTCCAAGGCCGATTCTCGGCCGACCAGTTCTTTATCTCGCACCGATCAATCGGCACGGGCAGTGGAGTCGGTGCGCGGCCGAGGATAGATAGGGCCGCGTTACAAGCCGCACGCGACCGATTAGACGTCTTAACCTCGCGGCAGCCAGCTCCGCTGACTCTAACGAACTCGTCGGCAGACGGCCGCAGTTCTGTTCCGCGGATATTCCGAACGCCTGCTGTTTCGTCTTAGGCCCTCCCCATAACGAAAAGAACAAGCTTGGGATCGAGGTCAGGTGCATTTGCCCCCTAGCCTGATACGCTGTACAATTGCTGTCGTGTGGCACTTTGGGGGCAAAGCAAACCACAAAACTCCTTATACGGACGCGGAGTTAAGACTGGGTCTTCCGTACCCAGCCTAATGAACGATGAGCGAAGGCGGCGATTTACCCACGTTCGGACCCCTCGTAGGTGTTCCGTCGGGGGGTAGGTACTAAATTTCTTGTGTACGCCAGATCTGGCGAGGAAACATATCTGCGCCACCTCCGCGGTGGCCAGATTCGCAATAAATGTCAGGTGCATTACTCGTCGATGCACCGAATATGGACGACGTGAATAACATAGACGACGTCGACATAGCAGAAGATTGTGTATAAGGAAATAGTTGTTCGGTGGAAAAATAAGGAATAGTACCAAAAACAGTATTCTGGAGGATTTCGAAAGAAAGATGGATCAAATAGGCTGTAAAATTGCCGATAAAATCGAAATGGAACAGATTAAGAGAAGAGTTACATGAACAATCAGGGAAAAATACAGTAATGTCTCTCTAATTGGCGCCCAGATTGCGCACAAAAATGGACAATTCGGGAAGAGGAGATACGATTATTCGAGCGTTGCGGTTTATTTTTGTAGTTATAAATTGTCCACAATAATAATCGTATCTCCTCTTCCCAAATTGTCCATTTTAGTGGACAATGTGAGCGTCAGTAAGGGAGACATTACTGTAGTAGCAATGAAAGGTGCGCCAGGAAACAGAGAGGCAATTTAGGAGAAAGGTCGGGAACACTGAGAAAGGAAAGGAGAGACCAAATTCAAAAGTCTAGGTTTCCCAAAAAATGTTGCAGATGGGTCAGTGACGAAATACAAGCTTGAAATAATAACGAGATACGGGCTAAGCAATAACTCGTAAACGATGCCTCGGAGAAAAAATTTGTAAAGGAAAAAATTGCTTCGAATGGCCTCAGTAATCTCTAATTACCCGGAAGTACCATAATTTTGGGACGCCCTGTACATTAATTGTAAATAAAATGCCACGACGCGAGAGAAACAGAGAGGTTCGCAACGATACTTTAATCGACAAGATCGGCACAAGAAACGAACGTAATTAGAAACAGGTCGACTCGTGCGCGAAGTGCAATATGTGATAAGAAAAAAAAATTGTGGATTTAGATGTTCCGTACCTAATATAGGAACTATAGGAATCTGGTTGTCTAATCTCTGGAATGACTATTCGTCTCGATCATGGTCTTGTACTTCGTGGACCGATACGACGCGATGCCTGCCACTCGTTGGTTACTCTGTACGGAATGTTCGGAGATTTGAAACGTTTCCGGGAAGCCCCCGGAGATAGAAAGCGCGAGATAGACCGGATTAATAAACGAAATCCTAGGTGTCCAAGAGCAGAAATTCAATGGGATTCCACGCGATGAAACGACGACGGAGCGAGTTGGAATGACGGAACCCGGGGCGCGCCGCTGAAAATTTCGCCCGGGTATTGTAATTTCATTCCCCGGAACCGTGCGATAGTTTCCGTCGGAGTCGATTCACGCGATATTCCACCGTCTGCGAGGGATTTCGAGAGCTTCCCGTCGGGCGAACTAATTTGTTGTCCGGCTGAAATTACAGGTACCCGCGTACCCGTGTTCCCGCAACGATAATAGATATCACGCGGCGCGAACGTGAGAACGCCCGGCTTCGCCTAACGCGCCGTATAATCACCGCATTTATATACACTCACCATTGATATTAGCCGGGGATTGATCCACGCCTGCTGCATGTTGTCGTCGAGGTACCGCTTCGCTATTCGGGCGATGTTTTCGTGCGGCTCTTTCTTCGGCGGCGGGACGACGACGGGCGGGGCATCGACGTTCGCATTGTTTCTGGAACAAACGCGTGAACAACGCGTGAGCATCGAACGTTTCTGGGAACGTGACCGCCGTGAACAAAACGGACGTGGGCGTGATCACCACCGACGACAGCGATCAAGACGCTCGTCCGTTTCGTCCTCGTCTTCATCTAGTGGACAGTGTTTCCACTTGCCGGCGTTACAGGGCCTTCCCTTGCATCCTCGCTACACCCTAAACGGTCCACAAGCTGAAGTAGGTAATAGAGGGGATTGCCGATTTCCCAACTGTAGTATGAATACCATAAATTTTTTTAAACGATGGACCAAGCTACTTAAGTTTCTCTGAGGAGATGAATTTTGGAAAAATTGCGATTCGTTAAGAAGCATGCCATATGGTAACACTATTTCTTACCATGCCAATCGCAATAACCGGTCTTCCATTTTTCATTTTCAAATTGTTGAATTTGAACAATTGAAATTAATTAAATCAAATTATGAATTCCTTCGTTCGTGTTTACAGTATAATAGAAATAGCGAAAGTCCATCACTTTTGCCATTCTTGCCGTTCTTATAAAGGAACGCGCATTAATAATTTTTGAACCGCATGATTGTAGCGTTACCATAACGATTACGGTAATGTCTCCCTAATTTATGTTCAGATTGTGCACAAAAATGGACAATTTGGTAAAAGGAGATGCCGTTATTCGAGCAACTCGTTTTTATAGTTACCGATTGTCAACAATTATAAGAACGAGCCGCAATACTCGACTAATCGTATCTCCGCTCCCCAAATTGTCCATTTTTGTGGGCAATCTGAGCGTCGATTAGGGAGACATTGCTGTAATCGGAATGTTGGAAAGAAGCTAAAGAATTTTCAGATCCGCAATAATCGTTCGCAACGCGATAGCGCGGATCGATGTACAGAAAATATCGGTGTAACGTAAATTCTTCGAATCATAGCTCACGCGATTATCCGGCTGCAATCGGCTTGCCCGAAAGCTCGGGAATAATGAATGCGTATTATCGACGATTCGAAACCTCCGCTTACAAATTCATAATAGATCGATGAGTCTGTGCCATGTTAACGAGACAACCTGGACATCCATTAACGACAGATGCCGATCGATGCGGGAAAATCTGGAATCTCGGCAGTGACAAACCGAGGACCGGTGGCGTTCTCCGGTCTACCTTGGCAAATGCTATTATTTACTTCGATGAGTTATTAACGCGAACGACGCGCGACGGAGAGAGCGGCAATCCACGCGCGGGACCGCCTGTGGCTCGGGAGAGCACCAAATTAACGGTCTCCCGTGCCCCGGCAATGCATCAAACCGAATCTATTGTTCGACCGCCACACCACCACCGACGTCACCGACCATCGCCGCTACCAGATTGTACGTCGCGCGTGCTACACGCTGGAACAGTTCGCAATTAGGACACCGATAACAACGCGTATCGCGGCTTTGCGAGATCATTGCGCCACGCGGACACCGTTTGCGGGACCTTGATTGGTTTCGCGTGCTCGACGTCATCTGAGTTCATCGATCTGCGAATTATTCGGAAAAACCGACAACGCTATTTCACGCAATTACCGCTCGAATAACTCTATTCGTTTAACCCTTCGCACTCGAACCTGTTTCAACTTTCAATCTCAAAATTGTTTTTCTGACTTACGAAGCACGTACAGTAATGTCTCCCTTACCGACGTTCAGATTGTACACTAAATTGGGTAATTTGAGAAGAGGAGATACGATTATTCGAGCCTTTTTAGAACACAAAAAAGTTAAGCCAACATTTTTTTCCTATGGTTACATTCAAATTTAAATTTTCTAGTTTCGATTCCGTTATCCCCCTACTCTGCGATATTGTGTCAAACAGGTTGTAAAGATTTGGAACACGGTCTAATAAATACGGATGTCATTCACGTATTTTAAAACGAAATAAAGGTATAGTCTTCTCTCAGCGATTCTTTTTTTTACTTTAACACAGTTTCGACCTCCAATGGAGATCGTTCTGCGATTTAATTTATAGTAATGTTTACTATATGTGGAGAATAGAATATAGAGAATGTAGAAATATAGAAATATAGAAATATAGAAATGTAGAAATTTAGAAATATAGAAATGTAGAAATGTAGAAATGTAGAGAATATAGAGAATATAGAGAATATAGAGAATATAGAGAATATATAGAATATAGAGAATATAGAGAATATAGAAATATAGAGAATATACAGAATATAGAGAAGATAAAGAATATAGAAATATAAAGAATATAGAAATATAAAAAATATAGAGAATATAGAAATATAGAGAATATAGAGAATATAGAAATATAGAAATATAGAAATATAGAATATAGAATATAAGTAACAAACAAGTACTAATCGATTTAACCGCGAAAAGAATGTAAGTGTTAATTAAACGCCTTCGACACTGTAGGAATTTTTGTGATTGACAATAATCACTTGACATGTTAATCTCGTTTCATTGCGATCCGATATTTTATCGTTCGGCTTTTCCACGGACATCAACCTTTCGAATCCTCAAGGTTTTCTCGGAAGATTTTTAAGTGTACACACGCGTGCGCGACTCATTAGTCTCCTGCCTCCGCGGTGTATCAAAATTTCCATCTGTTGTCCGTCCCGGCGACTATTACGGCGTATGATAGATCCGTGTGAGCATGTACAATGGTTAGCTATGAATAATCGTTTACGCGCGTATACAAATGTTGCGAAACGGGCATTCGCATTCAATAGAGAATTTCCCGGCGAGCGCGCGCGCGTGCACGCACGCTTTAGCGACGGGTTTATACGGCCCAGGATATCGCCTAAGTGAATTATGAGAGTTTATCGTGACTCCGTGGTCCCGCGTCCGCCGCCGTTGCTACCGTCGTCGTTGTCGTTGTCGTCGTCGTGGCACAGCTGCCGCTTTAGGCCCTCGGTTAAATTACGCCCCGAGATCCCCAGAAACCGACGAAATTATTGGCCCTTCCACGGATCGACGCCTTGGGGTGAGCCGAGACACCCTCGTCTCTCACCTATCGCGGACGATTCGCTCCAAATTAATGCGGGTTAGCGAGGGACCTCTGGTCTAGGGCAACGCGTTTCTTGCTCGGCCTCGCTTTGCTCTCCGCTGATTGATGATCTTCTCAGCATGTCCTCAGGCTCGTGTACCGTACACGCCGAAGTTGGCCCACTTCTTATCATATTCTTTTGTCTACGAAAGTCAGTGTTTTATGACGAAGCCCAAAGAGACTTCCATTTTTCACAAAGATTCTTCTTAGATTCTTCGTACTCAAAGTAACACGAAAGTCAGGTCAGATTGGGCTCAATCTCAACCGTTTGCACTCGAGTGATGACTCTGTAGCACCATTGAAATTGTTATATCACGTTCCAAGATCTTTTTTATACAGGGTGCCCCAAAAATGTCTCGCAATCCGAAAGTGGCGGGTTCCTCGGGTCATTTGAAGCAACTTCTTCCTTTTCAAAAATTTTCTCCGACGCATCGTTTACGAGTTATTAACGAAAAACAGTGACCACTGAGAGGCGAGATCAGCTGCCGCGAGCCGGCCGAGCCAATGAGCGGAACTGGGCTACGCGCGCTGGTTGGCTGGGCCGCCTCGCGCCAGCCGTGCTCGATTCTTATTGGTCAGTGTTTTTCGTTAATAACTCGTTAACGACGCCTCGGAGAACATTTTTGTAAAGGAAAAAGTTGCTTCGGATAACCTCAGTAATCACTAATTTCCCGGAAGTACCATAATTTTGTATGTCTCGACTTAACCTCTTGCAATTAATGTAGAAAATTTTGCATGAAAAGCTGCACCGTAACTGTTATTGGGATGCGTCCATTCACAGAGCCTCCAATTCAAGGAGTAACAATATTAATAAGATAATTAATAATAATAACAATAATTAATAATGATTAGACAACAAGCATTAATTATCGTAGCCTGACCAGTTGGATAATCTCGTCGATCTGCCGAGTCTGAAACTCTGGCACCAGCATCCACGGATTAAACGACGAAACTAAGGAAATCACCAAAAAGTGCATACGACGATTGTGCTCGTTTCTTCATCAAGAACTTCGAATATCCCGAAACTTTAAAACTAGCAAGAACGAGCAAGGATTTGTCATGTTCACAAGAGAAACGAGCTGAATGCAGCCGAGTTCCGATGAAACTTTCGCGCATTATTGTGAGCAGAGACCGATGCAGGGCATTCTCGAAAGCTACAATGGCGGCACTGTTTCTTACGAGGTCCCCAGCAAAGTTTGACCTCTCTCGCCAGAGCGAGCGTCATCGCCTCATCGCGTAACACAATGCGAAAAATGGCACACTGCCCGGGACAAGCTGTCTGACTTTCCAGCAGCCGCGACATAATTCGCCGGGCTTTTACAACGCGATCTCCTTTGCTCGTGAAAGGTGGATGCGCAAGTAACTTCAGCGACGCGCTTTGATCTCCGGCCTGTGACTTCGCGTGCAAATTCTTTCTTTGTCGTTCGGCAGTTGTGCATTTCGCACGTGCCCGCCAGCACTTGCACTAATTACGTTCCGTCGAGCTCGAGGCACTGTTGTACCTGGACGCGTGCACGTCTCGGATGAGCGACGCTCGACGAAAACTGCGCGACAGCCGAGTCTTGTCTTCCACGGGTGAAAACAGTTAACAAACGCGTCAGAGAATGCCGCCGTTCGAGCAGACGCTGCGAAAACCGCTGGTTCAGTCTGTGTTCGCAGTCGCCGAGTTTGAAACTGTCATAGCAATCGCGAATGGATCGCTCGTTACCCTCGTATAATTCTGTACATTTTGTAATTAGTTTGTAGGATGTCTCGCCTGATTCGATGAATTTTGTTCAGTTATCTGCGAACGTGCAGAAGCTGTTTCGTTTCGGAATTAGAAATTGGGTTAAAGTTATAAAAATCGTCTCGGTGCTACACTTTTCTAGCTTTCACTGGAAGCGACGATTTACGATATTCTGACATCGAAAAATTTCGACAAGAAATCAGTAACTTTTTGGTATCTGTTTGAAATCATAC